TGACCATTCAAAATGTAATGCTTGTTGCATTGTAACAGCACTTCTGTTTTGAAAGCAGCCTCCCCAAAAACATATGTGGCCTCCCACATAAGTACTGCCTACTGATAAATGTGTTTAACAGTGAGAATTCCTAGGATGCCTAAATCTAAAAGCGATGGGGCAGACTGAGAACTTAGTTTCAGAGTGGTAGCTGTGTTCGTCTAGATCATCTTATTTGGGCATAAGCTTTTGTGGGCTAGAACCCACTTCATCAGATGCATGGAGTGGAAAATACAGGAGCAGGTATAAATACATGAAAGGATGGGAGTTGCCTTACAAAGTGTGAGGTCAGTCTAATGAGACAATTAAATTAACAGTAGGATACCAAGGGAGGAAAAATAACTTTTGAAGTGGTAATGAGAGTGGCCCTGACCCATTTAGTCTGGCACTGACCCATTTAAGTTTGTATCTCAACACCATGATTCAGCACTGCAGCCTATAATTACCCACCAATATCTGTTACTAAAGACCACTTTAACATAAAAGATAAAGGCACAAAAATATCCAGTGGCAGGAAGTAGAAGCTAAAACAATTCAAACTTGAAATAAGGTGCAAATGTTTAATGGTGAGGGTAATTAACCATTGGAGCAGCTTGCGACCAATGTGGTAAATGCTCCATCACTCTAAGTCTCTAAATCCAAGTTGGAAGTCTTTCTAAAAGATACACTGTCATTTACTGGGCTCAATGCAGGAATCACTGCGTGAACGTCTGTGGCCCTGGCGTAGGGCATGCCTCCCCTGTAGCACCTTCTGCTCAGTTAATACAGAGCTGCATATACTCCCTGTCTCAGTTTCCCTTCTCAGGAAGCCAGTAATTCCACTTCAGGCACTCTTGACATTTGATTCAATAGCACCCTTCTTAGGACTTGTTTATTACAAAGGCTCCTACAAAAGGGGCCCTAAGAAAAAGTCACAAACAATTTACTTCTGGTTTTTTGGGTTCCTCTGAAACCTGCCTTCTATGTTCTGTTCCCCTCAGCATTCTCTCTCGGTCTTTAAGTCTCTCTTTATGGCAGGCACTCCAGCTTTCCTCCTGGAGCTAGGTTGCAATTTATCTCTTGCAGCTGGCCCCACATTCAGAGGACTGGCAGCCTTCTGCTGGTGTCTGGTCTCTGCTAATTCAGGACCCTGCAGGAGTCTTCTTACTCCTTTCAGGGTCTGCAGACATCTACCCTGTGATGAAGGAGGAGGCAGCATTTATGGTGGTCCCCTTCTCTCAACTCATCCTCAATTGGTTGGGAGATAGGGGA